GAGCAGTCTTTCGTCTGCGCCATTCCTGGGCCAATTCCTACAGCGTGCTCTGGTCAGCGTGCAGACCGAGGCTGGAAAGATTTCACAAGCGGTGTCTCGGACTGTTTCTATTGATGATCTTCTGAACGAGCCAAGCCCTGAAGAGCCGACCACAATCATCGACTGGACTCTTTCCAAGACCTATCCTGTCCACGTCAGCCGGTTGGACTCGGTTTCGTTCTTCAAGGGCGACAAGACCTACTGGCTGTGTGGCTTGTCGGGCGCTCTTGGTGTCTCTCTGGCCGACTGGATGATTGAACGAGGCGCGAGATACCTTGTCTTGACTAGCCGTAACCCCAATATCTCCCCCGACTGGATCAAGGCTCATAAGCGCAATGGTGTCATTGTATCTATTGTACGCTGCGATGTGACAAACGAGCCTGCTCTGCGTGCTGCTCATCAGTCTATCTGCGAGACTATGCCGCAAATCATCGGTGTCCTGAACGGAGCCATGGTGCTGAGAGACGTCTCGATCCGCAACATGTCATTTGAACTAATGAGCGAGGTGTTCCGCCCAAAAGTATATGGAAGCATTCACCTGGACCGCATCTTCAAGAACGCCAATCTGGACTTCTTCATTTTATTCTCGTCTATCAACTGTGTCATTGGTAATCTGGGTCAAGCAAACTATGCGGCGGCGAATACTTTCATGTGCAGTCTGGCTGCTCAACGTCGCAAGCGCGGTCTCGCAGCTACTGCTTTGAATGTGGGTGCTATTATCGGTGCAGGTTACATGGAGCGCGAGTCCAGCAAGGCTCTTGACTTGACTGTGTCCAAGATGGCGCTGATGCACCTGTCAGAGCAAGATTATCACCAGCTCTTTGCGGAGGGTATCGATGCCGGTCGTCCGGATTCTGGCGACGAGGCCGAGCTCACCACCGGGCTTTTGGATATTCCTGCTGCCGACACGGAGAATGCGCCCAAGTGGCACTCCAACCCTGCATTCTTCGACTTTGTCGTTCACAGAGTTGAGAAGAACGGGAATGACGCAGGAAATGAGGTTGTTACCTCGGTCCAGGATCAGCTTGCTGGCTGCAAGTCAACCAGCGATGTGCTTGCTGTCGTCAAGGGTAAGTTTCCGCGTATCGCGATTCCATACATTCCATACTGACTAGAGCAGGGCGATTTGCCATGCAACTTCGCAATGTGTTGCAGATGAACACTGCCGACGAGGACTTGATGGCAATGAGGAGCCGTGACATTGGTCTCGACTCCTTGATTTCGGTCGATATCCGTTCGTGGTTCTTGAAGAACTTCGAAGTCAGCGTTCCGGTCCTGAAGATTATGGGCAATGATACTATGGCCGAGCTGGCCGACCTTGTGGCCGCGCAAGTCCCAGCTTCGCTGCTTCCTGGACTTGGAGGCGGAGAGTCTCCAGCTGATGAGCCACCTGCCATGAACAATGCTTCCCAACCTGCTCCGGCTGTTGCACCGAATGATGAGACCAGCTCCTCGGCAGACTCCAACCAGGATGCCACTTCTACTGAATCCAGCAGTGGATACACTGGAACTAGCACCCCTGCCAGCTTGGAAGCCACCACAGTACCCCTATCGAAGGGACCGATTCGTATTGATTGGAAGGCCGAGATCGCATTGCCTCAGGCAGCGAATATTGACACCAGCGTGGCTCCTGCCGCCCGTCCTCGCACAATTGTGCTCACGGGTGTTAGTGGACTACTGGGCCGACACCTGCTCCTGCGCTTGCTGCAAGACCCATCCGTCAAGGAAATCGTCTGCCTCGCCACTCGCCGTCTTGACGAGCGCCTACAGTCAAAGGAGCTGGTTGAAGACAGCCGAATTCAGTACTTTCCAGGTGACCTCGAAGACCCCCGTCTCGGTCTCTCTGAACAGCAAGCGGCTCAGATCTTTAGCCGCGCGGATGCTGTGATCCACAACGGCGCCGACACCTCTCACCTCAAGTTCTACCCCGAGATCAAGGCCGCGAACATGGGCTCAACTAAGGAGCTAATCCGCCTCTGCACTGCTCGCAAGGTGCCCATTCATTACCTCTCTACCGTGGGTGTGGCCCTCTTTGGCAACTACACCTCCTTCCCCGAGGTCTCGGTTGCGGCGCACCCGCCCCCGGTTGACGGCTCTCACGGCTACGTAGCCGCCAAATGGGCCAGCGAGCGTCTCCTTGAGGAGTACAACAAGCAACACGGGGTGAATGTGTGGATCCACCGCCCCTCAACCATCATCCGCGAGGGCGCCGATGCCGAAAGCGCCGCCGCGCAGACCGACTGGATGAACGCCTTGGCCGCGTACATGCGCAAGACCCGCGCTGTACCCTCGCTGAAGAACCTGCGGGGTGCTCTCGACTTTGTCTCGGTGCACAACGCGACGAAGAGTATTCTAACAGCCGTGTTTGGGAACAAGCCCAAGGCTTCCTCTGCGGGTGTCTCTTACACTCACCAGGTTGGCGATATTGTGATTCCGTTGGACAATCTTAAAGAGTTTGCGATCAAGGAGACGGGTGCTGCGCATGTCGATGTGCTTCCGGTGGAGGAGTGGAGTGCTCGAGCGGTGGCTGTGGGATTGAACCGGGGAGTCGCGGCGTTGATCGACTCGATGGATGACCCGGGTCAGCCTCACTATCCTCGGATGCTAAGGGGGGAGTAACTGCATAACTGGTAGTCTTGTCTTGTATGCTCATATATAGGAAGTGTAATGCAATATGGCTTTTTTGCCGCCCTTGAACGAAAACTAGCTCGCGCAAAATGAGATTCGGCCTAGCCATTCTGGCGAAGCAGTCCACATACACTTTTATCCTAGGTTTGTAGGGCCCGCCACCACTCGACCAAGCAGTCTGGTCTTCATATGTCGGATTAATATCTGCTATCCAAAGCTACTATACACATACATGGACTCAACCACTCTTCCTCGCCAAAACACTAACCGGCAACCAGTGGAACTGCGCCCCACCCGGCTTCTGGATCTCCTCATACAACGCCGCCAACGTATCCAACCATTCCTCCTGGCTCGGTACCGAAGGCGCCGCCTGCTTCAGCCTTTCCAACAGCGCACTGCTACTCTCCAGCGCAAGCATGAAGGTGTTCGTCACAAGAGGGATGAGGCTGGGAGCCCACGGCTTATACTGACAATCCACTACCTCCAGCCCGGCGCGGCGGTTGACGTGTTGATCGAGCTCGTCGAGCCATCTGGTTTGATAGATGTTAGGCTCAGGTACTACTGTACCTCGTGTTGGAGACTCCCACCGCGAGGGGTGCAGGACATACTGGAAGCTATGCTTGGTGACCGTCCACTTCCGGCGCATCAGCTCCCGGAACCGCAGCGCGGTCTCGTCGCCCTCGCGCGTGACGATACTCCCGAACCGGGCATCTTCCCACTGGAGGTAGCCCCCTGGCTCTTTGCGTCGGGGGGTTGGGTATGTCAGTAAACCGGTGGAGGGGGCTTGCCGAAGAACCCTCAAGGGAGTTTGTGGGCTTGGGGGCTTGGGGCAAGGCAAAGTACTCACTCAACAATCTCTCCGCATGCCGGATCAGCGCGCTGGGGTCGTTGTCCCGGATAACAAACGCCCACATGCGCAGGTGCACTACGTCGAAGTGCCCGATTAGGTCTTCGGGGATTGTCTCGCTGAGCGAGTCGAGGTGGTCGAAGCGTACGTTCGCGGGCCAGTATTCTGGGGCGGGCAAGTGGGTGCTTGCGATGTCGTAGCCCACGACTTGGGCGCTGGGGGGCAGGTGAGGGGAGAGTTCAAGGGCCCAGATGCTGGAGATCTCAGATTGTATGTATGAGCATGGGAGCAAAGGTCCGGAAGAAGTGGAGGAGAGAGGGCGAGAGGGAGGGAGGGAAGGGGAATCCTAACCCAGTTCCGGTCCCGATGTCCGCTATGATCATTCCCTCCTTTAGGGGGATGTCGGGGTGAAGCAGATAGCCAGTGTAGAGTTGCCAGAGCAGATGCTGGGAGGAGAGCCTAAGAAGTAGGGTTTGGGGTTAGCATGGTGAGGAAAGTCTCGGGTGTGTGGTGCGCATACCTGGTGGCTTCGAAGCGATCGCGTGGGAGCAAATAGGTGGTGGGAGTCGAGGAGGCCATGATTGGGGGCTTGGGGTTTGATGTCAGAATTGCCTTTGCTTGAGAGATTGATGAGGGTGTTGAAGCTCTGCTGTAGGCTATATTTGAGGACCGGAATTTCCAAGGAGAGATAGACCCGAAGAGGGGGAAAGCGGTGGATATGATGCACGAGCCCATCACAAACACAGACTAGTCTACGTATGAGAACCTGCATAATGATCGGCAGCGTCTAAGGCAGTGAGTCTGCATTATGTGTCCATGCTCTAATGCTCTGGCTCTGTTCTCGCGGCTGGATTGTAACTACTAGTGATCTGCTGCTCCTAGTGGGTTTGTGCGGTGCAGCAGTTGCAGCTCGGTATAGTGCCCAGTACCTACAGTACATACACATTGCTTAATAGGATGGCACGTCGCCGCCACTGCGTGAGGCGCTTTCTGTCTGCACCAAGTAGTCATGGTGGACGGTGATCCCCCCGCCAGCCTGCATAGGAACCTGATCTCCATACCGGTACTCGTCATCATCCGAAAACAGCCGCCACGGAGTGCGGCCAGAACAAATCTTGCCCTGGGGGTTCGGAAAGGACCCCGCGCTGGGACGACTACCAGATAGCCCCGTCTTCTCCCTGAAATATGTGTAAATGGGCCGCAGGCAAGGCAAACAAGCTTTGTGGCCCTCAAAAGTCAGTCCGTACGACGATTGCGGGCAGTGGGTGGGGAGGCTTACCGGCAACGGTGCCGATGTTCAGCTCTACGCAGGTCCAGATCAGTTACGGGACGAAATTCCACGTAATGTCTTCGGAGCTAAGATCGACACTCATGAGGCAGACGAGTCGGATGATGGAGATGACAATCACGCTAGATAGTGAGTGAGTCACATGAAACTTACATGCAGTCAGCATTTAGTGCCGCCAACCGCGGGTTTATGTTATACTCACAGGCCCCCCATCAAGAAAGTCAGGGTCAGAAATGTCTTCTGCGTTAGGGTGGTGTGCAGCTCCCAGATTGCTCTCATTGGGATCATCAGAATCCCAATGTCGGTGACCGTGTCTGGGATGGACTTTCCCAGAAAGTAATCGCGGTTGTTGACTCCACATTTGGCCGGGATGCTCTTGTCCCAATACCCCTGCAAGGAGATGCATTGGAAGCAAACAATGAGGACCTATTTCGGGGTATGCTTATGGATCAGCAAGGCAAACAAAAGAGCGGAAACAGTCTGTTGTTTGTGGTGCGGTCTCTGTCCTATCCTTACACAAGCTAGAGCCCAGGCAAACACGGTCCAGGCAACAAATGTGGTCGCCTTCTGCACTTGAGGAATTCGGAAAATTCGTCGGTAGGAGAGCAGAATGGAAAGCTTGATGGTAACGGTGGCGGCCACATAGAAGAGCTCTGCAATGACCAAGGATTTGAGGAAGGCTGAGACTGAGCCGGGAGGCGCAGCCCAGACATGCAGCCCTAACCCATGTCGAACGTCTGCATATTTGTTTGTACATTAATCAGTCGCTGGACTCTCGAAGCAAGCAGCATGGGTGGGAACTAACTCCAGACAACCGGCAGCAGGGACACAATGGCCCCGAAAATCTAGACTCGATGGTTAGGATATTGCTCTCAAAACAATCAGCCGCGAAAATGGGGGGGAGATGGGGGAGAGAGTGGAGAGACCAGCGACGATAGAACCACCCAATCATCCCACCACAGTCCAGCTTTGACCAAAGTTCGAGCGGTGAATCGTAGCGAGACCGTCAAAAAGGCCAGGATCCAAGTCGTAACTAGCACAGCTACAATCTTTGGCCGTGATCCGCCGAAAGATCAACTCCTGTTGGCCCGGTGGCGCTCATTGCTGCGCGGTCGGATTTTCACGGGGCGAGAGACACGAGTTCACACACAGAAGGGTTTGGAATTGTTGTCGTTCATGGTTGTCAGAAACTTCTCACCTCTCTACATATAGCCCTCGCTAGAGTCAAGATTCATTGAGTATAATGGTTAAGAGGGAAGGGTGCAGACAGCTAGGTAGCTGCACGAATATCCCGTTAGGAAGTAAGGCTTGCCATTGGAGTCGAAGAGTGTTGGGGCCTAGGCATTTTGGATCAGTCGGCAAAAGAAGGATCGATAAGGTAAGATTCAACTGAGCTTGTTTCCATTGCTTGTTTGACATGCCAGTGCGTATAAAGGTGGAGTTATTTCAGTCAATCATCGGGGTCACTCTCTACAATTCCAACCCCCCCCCCGAAGCTCCTACCTCCATGACCGTGGCGCAAGTTCCTAAATACAGACTGATCGGCGATCATCAGTCTGGCGACAGCGCAAGATTAAGAGCAAACACGCTTCGATTCTTATGGTACTCCCTGCTAGCTGCACTTCTGTTGTTAGTGGCCTTTGCTGCGGGGAGATACCAGGCCCCTCCCGTGGTTCCCTGTGAGTACTTGACTGCTATTCCTTCATTGAGTGAAAGAAGAAGAGACAGCTGATACACTGCCACCTATTCCCACGCATTAGTGGCAACCACGCTCTCCGTGTTTGAATACAACAGCGCATTCCAGGACGAAAGATCTCCCCTGACCAACGGGTTTGTACGACATGGTAGCATTCAGGGGCCAGAACAACCTCACCAGTGACGACGATGATCTTCCCCACATGCTCTCACCGCACCACATCCGTCATTGCCTCGAACTACTCCGGTTGGCGTTGATGTGCCAGCCCGACCTGACCGTGGAGCTCAAGAACGAGACCCTGGGTGGAGTGACGGGATTTGGGACCGAGCATCAGTGCAAAAGCTGGGAGGATCTGTCTCAATGGATGGCTCAGTGGGAGTCCTTTGGACTATGACTTAGCGGCTAGATACTGGGCGAATATATTTGGCAAACGGAAACAAGTGCGGCTGTGTATTCAAACTAGTAGTGAGTTCCGTCCACAAGGCGAACGTTTAGGTAGACCTGAGCAGCAAATCACATCTCTTTTCCTATCAGTGGGTTCTCCAACCCTTGGATCTCTTCCCACTCCACCGACCGAGGCTGCAGTTACCGTCGCAGAAGATCGAAATCGACACATGTTCGCACAGGCATTGCGGGGTTGAACTCGGGTTTCCGCTGGGTCTCTGCCCACCGGAAGGTCATCAGATATGCATCGGCGTGGCACTGGACACTCTGGCGCAGCATGTCCAGGCAATGGCCTTCTCAGAAAGGACGGTAGTGTCAGCATGCGGCATTTTCACCGAGAAGGGGGTGGGGGGTTCATGATGCGATGGGAACCTACTAATGTGGGATTCGAGTTTGTTCTGCTCTGCGGCTGTTAAATTGGGATGGTAATAGTCGCGGTGAATCCATTGGCGGAGGGTGTTCTTGAGCCCAAAGTAAGTACATGATTGCCAATAGAGCTCATCATGGGGGTTTTTGATTGGGTAGGGGAGGAGGAAAGGAGGCTGTACAATGCAATGCAGGTCGTGGTATACTCCAAGCCAGGCAAGGTGCTTGTCATCTCGAGGCAGCGAGATTGAGGTCTGGTTTGCCAGGTCCAGTTCCTCGGTTGAAACTCGGATGAACATATCCCCAAGTAGATCCTCCCAAGCTGCATCGGTCAATGAGTCGGGATCCTGGAAATATGCTGTTTGGGAGTAGTCGGTGAATTTCGTAGGAACAAAGTGGCGTTGAAGGCCGCGAAGCTCTATATGGTGGTCAGTTTGAATTAGTCTCAATGTCAAAACAACCACCACCAAGCTTGCCTTCTCCGCGCGTCAATGAACATGCTGGGCTCGAACGGTGCGCGACCCAGGAAGCGAGAGATATCAAAACGAATGCATTTATGAGAACGGGAACTCCAATCCAAAGGGCGATTGGTTTAGAAAAGCTGGATTTGCACGTATGCTGAACCTGAGGCCACCAGCCTTGTTGCTGCTGCTGGTCCCCATCTGTCGCGGTGGGCGTCAGAAAGGGCTGTGACTCTGTCTCCATGTTGTTTTTGATTAGGTGAGGAGAATTTCAATCCGGCGGTGATCTCGCGCGATGGCACCGTAGTAGCAGTCCCTTGTCTTCAAATGAGTTTTTCTTTGCTTGGGGTTGGGAAAGACAAGAGCGTGTTTGCGCTGCAAGTCAATCCGTTCTCAGTATAGATCATGTGTGCAGCCGAGTGCATCCTCATCACTTGCATGCCGCTAATGCTTCACATTACACATCACACGCATAGCATGCGCGGAATCGGTGGGCTTGGAGCAGCCGAGTTTTCCGTCTCTTTCCCTTTGTGTCCCAGGGCTTGCTGTCTGGGTGTCGGTGGCTGGGCGCGGTATCGAGGTCTATAAGTCGGTGTCTCTACCTCACAGTGTCCGGGGCAGATAGAGGAAGAGAAGTAGAGAGGAAGTTTACGTCCATTTCCAACCCGATCCCCGTACATATCATCTTCTTTCATCTGAGAAGCCCAGAGCGTCGGTCTCAGCAGCAAAACAGCATACAGAGATCTTATATCCCTTCTTTGCCGAACCACCTGTCTCAAGATGAAGCCGTTGTCCGCGATGATCCTCTTGGGGGCTGGGAGCTTCCTAGTCCTCGCACTTCCCACCTCCGATAGGAAAGGTAATAAACATCCTACCCGCTCTGGTTCAGTTGGGAAACTTTCGGTACTAACATCAATTATGAATTATGCTCTGGTAGCCACCCACTCCATTGAAGAGAACATTGCGTACCCGGAGGCGTACAGGGAAAAGCGTGCGGAAACACCACAGGGCCGCTCCGTCTCCGTCGAGGCGGAGGTTGCTTACCCGGAGGCATACGCGGAGAGTAAATGAGGCACCTGTTGCTTTTTCAGTTGTGCTGTTGTTGATGGATAGTGAAGTGAAACTTCAATGCTCTTTTTCCAGGTGCAGATTGAATAGCATAGAGTTTGTTTGCCTGTTGGAAATGTGTCGCCAGTTGCCAAGGTTAATTTATCCGCTTCTCCGCCCGAACAAAAACAAAAAGAAAAAGCAAAAGAAGAATGCGTCAGCGGGGAGTCGAACCCCGATCTATTGCTTGGAAGGCAACAATGCTAACCGCTACACCACTAACGCTTGCGTATGATATTTCTTTCTAGCTATACATGCTAACCTACATGTGCTAACTTACAATAACCCCATTTTTCTTAGTAAACTTATAATATTTTTATAAAGTATTGCTTTACCGCTCAACAGACCGCCTTTCTTTCTAACTGACCCTAATATAAAAATCATATACAAGATTCCCTAATAAAGAACCCTGATATACCAATCCCTTCAGCCTAAGATATCCTAAGACCCTAATAGCCTTAATAATCCTAATGTAACTTATAGTTGTTTAAAGTAGGCAGCTTGGAAGGCTAAAACAGTACTATCAGCAAATTGGGATATTGCAAATTGGCACGAGTAGCCCACCGTAGCTACATTACATATTCGGCAAACTGGAATTGATTTCATGCCTTATGGAAGACTGACGCCGAGCTGGGCGGCCCTGCAGAAAGTAATCTCTCTGCAACCTTGCCGTGTCCTGCTATCGTAACTCAGGGACTGCTTTGCTCTAGTGCTATGGTGGAACACTCTTCTCTCGCTGCTTCGAGATCTAGCAAGATTTTATTTTCATCTAATGCGGCAGATCGGGTCGTTGCCTGCGACTCGTGCTACAAAAAAAAGGTGACGCCCTTTCTTTCCCCCTTCGGCCTTGCCGCGCGCATACTGACGACTGATGGCGACCCCAAGATCAAGTGTGAGGCTGACAACCACCAATGTAACTATTGCCTGCACCGTAATATTGCCTGTACGTATAGCCGACTGGCCCGGGGCTCAAATAAAAGGTATGAATCGAACAGCCGCCGCCGCCTCACAGAAACTCCAAGCCTGATCTATGGTTGATGTACTGTGCAGAAAAGCCCAGGACCCGGACCAGAATGCCGCCAGGGGCTCTTGGGATGAGCCGCTTGCCATGCGGCCGCATTCCTCCTCTACGTGTATGTGTAAGACTTTTCTTTTCTGCACTCGGTTCGGTAATCGTCTAAAAGCTCACGGGCAGAGGTTTCAATGGTCAATCTGGGGTTGATGTATCTCAACGGGAAGCGAGATAGCGCCGATGAGGGCCGGGCATGGGTGGAATCTCGCACCGGGGAGATCGTGAACATGGATAAATTGAGCACATTGGAGCTTCCGTGGGCCAGAGTCGGTCCTGTCCGGGACTCTTCCGCCGTACCTCAGCTCCCCCCTCGCCCCATGGTGGAGCGAAGTGTTGCTTCATACTGTTCATCATATCAGAGCCTCGTGTTTCTGGTCATCAGCAAGTCACTGTTCGCCAAGACCCTGGATCTCGCGTACGGACCACACTTTTATGGTTCCGACAGTGCTAAGTCCTGCATCTATGCCTTATTGTCGGTGGTGGCGATCTTTGGCCTGGAGAATGATCTGGGCGATGCACTGGACTGCGAGGCGTATGCCATAGCGTCCCAGAGCTTCACTGTCCCGATCATCAATGAAATGACCATGGATGGTCTTCAGGCGCTTGTCATGCTTGTAAGTTGATTCCGACTGGAACCGAGAGAACTCAACTAAAGGCTAACTTACCATCAGACGCAGCACCATTACTTCCTGGGTGACTTACAAAGTGCGGCGGTCTCCGTGTCCATGGCCAGCCGACTAGTGTTCAAGCTGGGCGCGCATGCGAGACCTGGCCCCACCATCTATCACAAGAGCATACCCGAATGCCATCTGCGCGACCTTTTCTGGCTCTGCTACTCCTTTGATCAGGATCTCTGCCTCACAACTGGACAGCCCCCGTCGATATCCGGGGTGTTCTGCTCCCTGGACCTTCCGACACATTACGCACAGCTGCAGGACACCAATCTGCAGCACCCCGAGCAGACGTTGGCCATCACGGATGCCACGCTCGCTCTCTATGCCTGGGACCTTCGTCTCTCCCCGCTCAAAGCCGAGATTTACGAGGCTCTCTACTCCGCGACCGCGTGCCAGAGATCCAATTCGGAGTTCTTCGCCCAAATTCGCCGCCTCGACCAGGCCTTGGAACATTGGCGCCTGAGCCTGGCTCCGGATATCCGGCCGACGCTACAATTCTCCGTGGGAATGCCCGTCGACGCCACGCTTAATACACAGGCCGTGATGCTGCGAAGCACAAGGGGATGGGGGGAAAGGTCAATTGACTGACGCTGCGCATCTCGATAGGGTTGTCATGTTCTACGCGATCACTTCCATCCTGACGCTCTTTCGCAACATCCTCAGAAACCCACGAGATCCTGCCATGGCGGATCTGGCGGATGTGCTGCAGGGGGTCCCGAATCTGATCGGCAAGATCTCCATCCGGACGCTGACTGTGGGCCCGATGATTCATCTAAGGTTCTTAAACAATTTCGCCACCGAGCTTGCTAGGCTCGCTAGATGTGCTATGGCCAAAGCTGAGCGTGAGGTTGCCGCCAGCGACGAGCATTCTTTACCGTAACTTGTGCCCTCTCATGTGCAGTCGCGCGTGTCCATAAGAAAAAGCCATGGAAGAATAGGCCTTCATCCTGCAGCAAAGTAAACACTAGCCATCTACAACAAATACAATCATTCTGACCGATCGGAGAGTGTGAAGATCTTTTCTATGTTAAGGAGAATTACGAGGATGGAAGACCTAAGAGCTCCTGATGAGGAATTACATGGCGTGGCACCGAAGCAGAGACCGCGTGGGGGTGTTTTCGAATCGCTGGTCAGGGCTATATTTTCCCGTGCTTAGTGGAGGGATACCGGAAATCCGATATAGAATTCCTCAAATCCAAGTACATGGATTTCACTTATTCTTTCCTCTCTACATGTATGCATAAAGTCGTTTGACATGGTAAACAGAGCTATTTTCTGCTAATTGCACGTATATCTCGGTTACTTACAATATACGAAGGAGTTGCTGGTAGACCCACCGAGAAAAACTGGATCCGCCGCTGACAAAGCGGAGGCGCATTCCGCGGGACGCATTGCTTGGACTTGCGTCTCCCAACTAATTAATTTCCGGCTCTCTCAAGTATAAAAAGTACTCATTATAAAGCCATGCATCATTGTCGGTGACCGAATGATCATCACTGGCCAGAGTGAGTACTATTCCCCGTCTCACCCTTTCGCTGCGTTGGAGCCGGCAGTTGACTATCTCTCTCCTAGCCGGCAGGGATCCGGTGACGTGCCAGACCGCTCCTGATCTGGAGGCCCAAGTTGCCCAGGCCTTTGAGAATATCAAGGCTCTGATCGAGCGAACCTTGCAACAGGCCCAGCATCCCGCCTACAAAGAGGGAAAATCCGGCTGGGAGCTTGTCGTCAAGTTACACGCTTACTTTGTCGGCTTGTCGGCGGTGCGAGACGAAGCGCGAGCGATCATGGTGCGGCACATGTAAACAGGCGTGCCCTAATCACCAGCCACTCTTGAGCATGGTGGGCATCGAGAGCTTGCCATTCCCCGAGCATCGGGTTGAGCTGGAGGTTGATTTATGGATTGGCTGACTTCTGACCTATTGCTGTCTCGAATTGTTGTCGTGGCGGTATCTTCCCACGATAGTACATCTGTATCACGGCCGCAAGAATCACTTGATGTTCTGTTCGTTGATCAAATCCCAAACGGATCGGTGTTTCTGGACATGAAATATTAATTGCATGTCTTCCACTCCGATCAAGTGTTATTCTAGATGAATTGTTCGCCCTTTTGAGTTGAGGAGATTGTTCGAATATGCTGCCAGGGCCAGTGATTGCATCTCCAAGATAGAAATATCCTGGGCTTGAGATAGCCGGTCACCACTTGGGCTATTCTCAGCATCCATGTTCAGTACGGGCCCCCCTTCGATGCACCAGTAGTGGTCCCCCGTCTAAGTGTAGGGAAGAACTACGGCAACTCGGCATCATCGGATGATCTTTGACCACCAAACCAGGGTCGAGTAGTGAGGCCATTCCAAAGAGGTACTCAGGGATCAGTACTGGCGCGATATCCTATCAGGTGCTTGTGGGGAAAGTCGGGTTGTATGGCTGTATGAGTATGCACCTCCATCTCCAGCCCCCGATGAGTAAGCGGTCTCGTCATGAGTTTGTGTCGGTGGAGGTGAAATATAAGTACCTGCGGCAATCGCAGATAATCTTCTTGCCACACATTACACATCTCCTCAACGCTTGTTCACTCTTGAATCCTTTGGAACAGTGGTCGATCAAGCATTATGTCTCCGCGCCTCGTGGTTGTTATTGGAGCCACCGGCTCGCAGGTTCGTCACCGGCACAACTCGCATTAGTACTTGCTGTACATCACACAACCTGCTTGGTAACTGACGATGGCTCAATTGAATTCTCGGCGATAGGGAGGGTCCGTCGCAAGGGAGCTCCTCAAGAGCCCGCAGCTCTATCAAGTCAGGGCTGTGACCCGCGACCCCAGTAAGCCAGCAGCCCAGGAGCTCGCCACCCTCGGAGCAGAGATTCAAGCCGCCGATCTGGGTGACGGGGTTGAAGCGCTTACGGCGGTCTTTGCCGGCGCCGATGCGGTCTTTGCGTTGACGGACTTTTGGGCAACACAGTCCTCCGAGGTCGAGATTGCGCAAGGTCGTGCCATTGTGGATGCAGCGGCCCGCACGTCGACCCTTCAGCACTTTGTGTGGAGTGCGCTGCCTGACCCCGAGAAACTCCCTGGCGGAGCGCTGATGCATATTCACCACTGGAAGGGTAAGAGTCTCGTCACGGACTATATCCAGCAACAGCATCCAAACCTGTGGGCCGCGACCACTACTGTGCTCTTCCCCAACTATTTCGAAAATTGCCTGACGCACCCCGAGCGG